TGTTCGGTCAGATAACAATAGCCAACGGGTTAGTAGTGGGTGTTTCTTCTAGTCTATCATCCCAAAATTAAGGACGGCTAAGCATATCAGTTTGTAACAGCTCAATCTCAAGCTATGTACAGTTCTGATCTGCCTTTCTGATTTTGTAACAGCTCAATCTGAAGGTATTTACAGCTATCAGAAAGGCAGATCAGTTTGTAACAACTCAATCTGAAGGTATTTACAGCTATCAGAAAGGCAGATCAGTTTGTGACAGCTCAATCTCAAGCTATGTACAGCAATCAGAAAGGCAGATCAGTTTGTAACAGCTCAATCTCAAGCTATGTATACCTATCTACAAGGCAGATCAGTTTGTAACAGCTCAATCTGAAGGTATTTACAGCTATCAGAAAGGCAGATCAGTCTTGCAATCTACAATCACCGTAATGTTGAACATGCTAACTCATTGGTGCAAGACAAACCAGAATTATTTTCACGGCTAAAGGAAGCAAAATATACATGCGCGTTAAGTTTTTTACACTAGTGAAACGTCACTATATATATAACATTAAGTCTGTACCAAAAATCTTGTACATTACAAGATTATTCGTTATCTTGGAATTTAAAACCCCGCCTCTCCAGGTGATGATATCATAATATATAATTGCATAAGATTGTTTTTAATAGCCGCCAGTAATGTGTTCAAGAAAATTAAAGATAAATGAGGTTATAAGGAGTGATTATTGATCAATAATAGCAATGTGACCTTGTTCGTAGTATTTTTTTTAAACATAAAACCAGTTCTGTGTTTTATTACTGATATATTAACATGGTGAACATATACAATGCACTGCGTTCCTCTAGTATTTTCTGCCCAGGAATTAATCCCGATACAACAAAATCCAGGTCCCCTCGTTTTGTCATTTGCATGTATACTTTTCCAAATGTTCAAATTACTAATTTATTTTTATATATGTGCGAAGAACTCTAGGAAGCCAGTCAAGAGCATCTCGCTCACACGAGGGCTTTGTTTGCTCTTTGAACCAAATAATAGAATTAATTATCCCTTTAATAACTCGCCCACCGCCGAAAGTGCGGGACGTGTTCAACGGCATCACGTCTCGAACTCCGGATTCTTCGATATGAAACGCAACACAATAACCACCAGCCACGCTCGGCTCATTATATCTGATGGCAATATCAAACGGAGTTTATAACATACTACTAAGATATTTCATATCGGAGTAAGGCAAGCTGAAGGTTAGACATATGACACGTGAAAAATGTATTTGTGCTTCTGTCTTAACTCTGTTTGAGCTCTACCTTCCAGACTATTAAATTATTAATGCTAAAATTGTATTTTTATGTGACAAACGTCTCTCAAAATCATTAGTCCCCTTTCCTTGCGAAGAAAATAATAATAATACGTATTATCATGTCATCTGCCAGTAGGCTAACCAATCATAAAATGTGAATAGGCCTTATTATGGCTGATATTAATCGTGTGCATGCTGGGTTGAAACCTACGGTCCCTATATGAAGATATGAACAATGTCAAAAACATATAACTGAATACTGTGGTTGTGTTCAGTAATTTTCTTAAATATGGCTATGTAGTAAAGTAAATGTTTTTTCATATATATATATTGCTAATTGTAATGCTTTTGAAAGTATATATGTAAAATGAAGATTAGGCTTAAAGATTTTAATACAATAAATAAAAATACGGATTAGTTCTCTACCTGCACTACTGGTATGAAAGGTTATGGAAGATTTTCATTCCTTTTCCTTGATTTGGATATATTTCAATTGGCATCTATACAGCGTGGTCACAAGTAAATAGACACCATCTTTTCAGAAAAAATGAAAATTTTCAGTCATATTCACATGAATTGATATATTTATGATTTAATTAATATCTAGTGGATCTTCTTTTCGTTTCGTGGAGTTCGTTGATCCTTTGGGGCATTGTGAGAATCATCTCGTCAATTTTAGATTGTGGGATTTTCGCCGACTCTTGCTTCAAAACATGGAGTAGATCGCTCTTCAAAGTTGGTTTTTTTGGTTGTTTCTTGACTTGCCGGTTGAGTATGGCCCAGAGGTTTTCGATGGGGTTCATGTCAGGAGATTAG